TCTGTTTATTAAAATCAGCTTTTTGGAGAACCCAGATATCTTCGAAATCCAAAACCTATTTGGTCGGAAATCTGTCTGTTCATCTCTTAGTTTGCTCTCTATTATACTTTGAAGCCTTCCCTGTATTATGATCATTAATATCTTGTTAAACAGAGCAATTCCTCTCCAGTTATTGTACTCTTTCAAGTCGCCTCTTTTAATATCTTAACGATGATGTCAAGTAGGCTTTCTTGTACTACAGTGTTCAACGACCGGTTGGCTCTTGATACATGTTAGATTAGTGAAACACTTTTTAGTGGCCGGTGCCAACGAGTTCTTGATATCGTTATTCTGAAATTGTTGTATGTTTTCTTGTGTGCCTGCTTGAATCTTCTTACCATATCGGCTATGATGAACTCATGATCACTACCGATGTCTTCACCTCTTCTATATCTGACATCAGTGAAAGAGCTTTTCCTCTTTACTAATATTATGCGAACAGTTCGCTAAAGCGCCCTTCAGACGATCACACGATCGACAAGTCTAATGAAAAAGTAAAATTAAATTCCATCCGTATGACAAAAGAGAGAATAAAAGTCGTATGATTTATACTTTGTGTTTACACGATTGGTATAAAACAATAACAAAGTAAGATGGAAACAGCTGTTTCACCTTTTTGTATGTGTTTACATAAAAATACATCCCTGATCTAATGCGACTTGCTTCTTTTTTGAATCATTTCAAAAAATAAAGAGAGCCATACGACTGTCAAATTTTCCATTTGTATTTTCTCTCAATGTGTGATTATTTTGTTACATAGTGCGTTTAGACGATCTTCTACACAAAATTTTGACAGATCATATTACTTGTGTGCTCGTGTGAAGGGGGCTTAAATCGAGAGCAGTCCATCTAACTTAAAATACTACAACAACTTTAAAGTTTTATCTTTAAAAGCAAATAAAATCTGCAAACTGGTTTTATTTCATATTATATTTTAAGATTTCCCAAAATTTTGAACTTCCGATTTCTTAATGTTTTTGTCGCTTAGCCTTTGGTACTATTTCCCCCAAAGCTCTTGTAGTGCCAATTAAAGTCTTCGAATCGTAATAATCCAAACCAAAAGTAAAATTTACAAATGGCATAAACGGTGGCACAAAACCATCGGTGAGAGAAAAATTTCTAAATTCATACAAATAATTCTAAAATATATAATATATATTTTAATTAATATTATTATATATAAAAAAATAAAAAACCGCTTACCTCTTTAAAAGGACACTTAAAGGACACATTCAATTTTCTTCTAATTTCTTTTAAAATTTTATCCAACATCTGATGACCATTGGAAGTGGACAAAATATCACAACCGTTTGCTGTAATATTGAAAAAATTTATAGTTCCGGTTTTCAAACGTGACCTGATATCCAAGAATACATGAAAATTTAATATATTAGTCATATTCTTGTTAAACATTATACGGGCAAAGACTAAATAGTTATTTTCGGTTAATTTCTTGTAATGACATTCAAATATCGACATAGTTTTTCTGGTTGGAGTACAAGTTAAACTATTTAATTTAAAATTAAAACGTCGATTAGGTATCTGCAAAGAAAATATAACGTTTAAAGGTTAATTGATTACTACAGAAAATGCTATACCTCTGTTGAGACACGGATAATCGAAAATATTAATAAATATATCGGAAACAAGTAGTATTTTTGATACATTTTTGTTCACAATTAAGTTTGTTCTTCTACTATTAATAGTTTTAATAATAATCATATTTCATATATGATTTAAATAAATTGTTTGTTATTAATAATTGTATTGACATTTTCCTAAATAACAATTAATTAAGTGATTAGGAATTAACTATAGTGATCTATTCACTTTGCATTAAAAGCTTTACTAAAATATAATTAGAAAACTATTGTTTTCAATGTCAGATATTTTAACAACTATAATGCGGTAAAAACAAAAACTATCAACAAATTATATACCATGAAAACTATCGATCTAGTTGATCCATCTTCACTGTTTGATCATAGTCAGTGGTTTCATTATAGGGTCAGAACTATTACTAATATAGATGTCGCTGTTGTTCTGGCTCAAAACATAGTTATCTAGTTGCTTAACTCCGCTCTGCTCCTTAATTGAATCAAAAATTTTAGTATATCCGTACTTAATGTATTATTGACATTATTATGAGACGATGTCTTAATACTTCTAAGGGAAAGGATGCAAATTACTTGTGTAAAGGGGCCGAGGAGATCTTGACTATGTTCTACCAAAAACACTGATTGTTAGCCGCCGAAAACCGAAGTATGACGAAAATTTCCGAGTACATTTAACACTACTTCATGGGAAAAAGGTAATGTTATAGAAAGTGTTAAGGTGTAGTTCTAGACCTAAATGAAGATACACACATATAGGAACAACATAACAACCTGGTGCTGTGCGCTAAATAGGAGAACCATAGGCACTAAATACTGCCTTGGTACACTGGCTTAATGCAAGCTTGATTGAGCCAAATTTGGATGGCAATTACCGAGATATCAGGTGACTACCAAGAAAATTCAAATTAAAAAATAATTAAATCGAGGGTACAACCATAAAGGCTTTATATGGTGACCCTAACGAGAAGCCGACGAAAGGTATCCTCAGAATGAGCGAGTCCCTGGTTAGTGTGGGGATGCAACATCGATGTTAATGAGCGATACATCCCCAGGTACTTGGATGAAAAGATTCAGAGAAATATTGAACATACTGACAGCTTCTGTAAACTTCAGAAGATCGATTGGATTCCTCAGGACCATAGGATTACGAGAACAACTATACAGACACTATGACGAACGAGAGGAGGATATGTAATACATCAACAGGTCGCTATCGGTACTTGGATGAACAGATTCAGAGAAATATTGAACATACTGACAGCTTCTGTAAACTTCAGAAGATCGATTGGATTCCTCTGGACCATAGGATTACGAGAACAACTATACAGACACTATGACGAACGAATTCAGTGTTCCACGGTACCGGAAGATTAGATTGAGAGGAGGATATATTATACATTAAATCCAAAAAAAAAAAAAAAATACACCTGGGTCACTATCGAACCTGTTGTGCACTTCTTTCTATCGGTCCATGTTTTCAATTCAACCTGCGTTGTGTCGAACGATTAGGTTAACTTCTTTTGTTTTAGGAAGTCTATTCGATCTTTCGTTGCCGATTATTTCCGGCATAATTGGTATTCATATGATGCAAAACTTACCCTTGGAAGGCGATTAGGAATGAAGTTGTTAGGAACTTTGAGACACTAATACCAGACAGAATATCATGATAAAGAGGAACATACGAGCAAATACCCGTAAGAATCTATTGCTACACGAACAGCTCTAAAGTGGAAGACAAATTGGGCCTGGAGTTCTACATTGAAAAACTATAAACCATAATATACTAACGTCTATCTAATCACAATTCTATATTTTAAGCAAAAGACGAAGTAACTATGTAAACTGGATTGGATTGAATGCAGCACCAAAACAGGAAAACATATTTACCAACAACCAGATGGCAATTACCGAGATATCAGGTGGCGACCAAGACAATCGGTAATCATCAACCACAACGAATGTAATGAAGTTTCAAGGAAGGAAACTACGTTAACCTAACGAGTTAAAAGCCGTTCGTCACCAAATTAAAAAATAATGAAATGGTGTAGTTTTACCCACAAAGATTGTATGGAGTGACCCTAACGGAAAGAGGATGAGGGCATCTCCAAAATGAGTTAGTATGGGGATGCAACATCGATGTTTATGAGCTATAGTCAATGTTTTCGCAACATCGATGCATCCCTAGTTTAGTATGAAGCAAGGTATGTATTCTGAGTCGATGCAGAGGATTACGAGAACAACTATACAAAATTGGACGAACGGATTCAGACAAATGTTCAACATGCTGATAGAGTTTAAGAAGACCGATTGGATTCCTCAGGACCATATGATTACGAGAACAACTCAACAAACACGGACGAATGTATTCAGACTTATGTTGAACATGCTGTTATTGTGCCAAAGTACCGCAAGGTTAGATTTGATATATTATACATCAAATCCGAAGAAATACACCTAGGTCTCTATAGAACCTGTTGTGCAGTCCTTTCTATTGTCCATGTTTTTATTTCACTCTGCGTTGTGTCGAAAGGGTTGGCATATATAGAAGTATATTCGTTGTCAATTATTCCCGATTTAATTATCGATATGATGCAAAACTTACCTTTGGAAGGGTATTTGATTAAGACTCTCTTAAAGTTCAATACGCTCTTTAATTTATCCTCATCGCATGATATCTCCTTAATTTCCTTCTGGCTATCGGTAAATATATTAACCACTTCTGTTATTCTTTATTGAACGGCTTTCTGTCAGGATACTGATAGTATGATTAGGTAGACAGTAGAATTCTTCTATTCCTGGGTTTCCACTGTAGAACCCCAGGCCCGTTTTGTCTCCTAGTTTAGATCCATGGATTTCTAGGGATCAGTATCTTAAAGTTATCGATAAATTCTGTGTATCTCATGCAATCGTGCACGTCCGATGTGTATATGTCCCGTATACATTGATGACATGTCGTAAAACCAAAGCCAAGTTCTTGACCAAATCCACTAAGCTAAATTAGTAAGTTCCATATTAAGAACCTGAACTACTTTCCAAAAATATGGCTTATGCCAAAATATGTATATCCTCTGGATCTAGTAACACACATGACACTTCAAAGAGTATTTAAATGGCCCCATCCGGGCCTAGGTATATTTCGACTATGGCCGAGCATAATATACCCTACAATTGCTATGAGTATGTATATTTAAAATATTCTTTTTACAATAAAGATGAAGTGGTCTTCTAATGGGCTTCACACAAATGTGTACCAATCCTATTAAAATTCAGTAATGGGTTATCATGTTTACATATATAAAAGTTATGTATGCAGAGTTTATAAGTGATATATAGACCTGCAAGTATTTAAGTGACTTTTGAATGTCGCTTAGTTTTCGGTGCAATTTCCCCTAAACCTCTTGCACTACCAATTAAGATCTTCGAATCGTAATAATCAAAACCAAAAGTAAAATTAACAAACGGCATAAAAGCTGGGAAAAATTCATCAGTGAATGAGAAATTTTTTAAGTCATACAGGAAATTCTACAAAATGAAATAAACAAATTAAATTACTTTCTACTATTAGCTACCAGAGAAAAATACACATTATTTACCTCTTTAAATGGACATTTAAAAGGAGCATTTAAACTTTTAACCACTTCACGTCGAATCATTTCCAACATATGATTTCCAGCACCCGGACGCATGACATCACAAGCGTTCACTTTAAGATCAATGAAATTTATATAATCTTTACGCATTTGAGATTTGACTTTAAAAAACATATGAAAGTTAAAATTCTTAGACATTTTCTTTGTTAATCTGAATCGGCCAGAGATTAGGAACAAGTGTTCCTTAGCTTCCGTTACATTACATTCGAATATTGAAAAAGTTTTCGTATAGGGTATACAAGTAAAATTGTAAAATTTAAAATCATAACTCCGAGGCGGTGCCTGTAAGTAAAAATATTTTTTATATTTATTTTTTTAGAAATTCATTCTTTATACCTGGTGTGAGCTACTAAATATCATTATAAATAAATATATTGGTAACAAGCTAATTTTTGTCAACATTTTTATCTAGAGTTTGTTTTTCACTAATGTATGACTAAATCATAAATATGTTATTAAAGCCATTATATTGAAAATAATAATTATTACAGTAATCGGCTGTATTAGAATTAATATTTGTGTTAAGTTATTTTTAGAAAAATAATTGTTTCAATTAGCTTCGATATTAAAAATTAGAAATAAATAAAAACAAATAGGAAAATATAGTTGGACATGGTCGACTATGTGATACCCTACAGCATGAGTATATTTTAAAAATTATTTATTTTTCATAAAAAACTTTTATTTTGAATTTTACCTTAATGAAAAACTAAATTTCTAAAAGAGGCTTTATATGGGAGTCAGTGTCAAATATGCGCCGATCCTCAACAAATTGAGAAGAAGGATGTAATTTTATATAAAGGCCGAATTTCATCGCGATACTAATGGTTATAAGTAAATTTTTGGACGTTTAAGATATTTTTTTAAGGGAGGTTTGTATGGGGGCTAGGGCCAAACGACAGCCGATCGTTATAAAAATTGGCATTTATGCCTACAAAAAACTTAGCTTGCGCACAAGGCTTACGGAGGTTAGTTAGTTAGTTAGTTAGTTAGTTAGTTAGTTAGTTAGTTAGTTAAGTTAGTTAGTTAGTTAGTTAGTTAGTTAGTTAGTTAGTTGTTAGTTAGTTAGTTAGTTAGTTGTTAGTTAGTTAGTTAGTTAGTTAGTTAGTTAGTTAGTTAGTTAGTAGTTAGTTAGTTAGTAGTTAGTAGTTAGTTAGTTAGTTAGTTAGTTAGTAGTTAGTTAGTTAGTTAGTTAGTAGTTAGTTAGTTAGTTAGTTAGTTAGTTAGTTAGTTAGTTAGTTAGTTAGTTAGTTAGTTAGTTAGTTAGTTAGTTAGTTAGTTAGTTAGTTAGTTAGTTAGTTAGTTAGTTAGTTAGTTAGTTAGTTAGTTAGTTAGTTAGTTAGTTAGTTAGTTAGTTAGTAGTTAGTTAGTTAGTTAGTTAGTTAGTTAGTTAGTTAGTTAGTTAGTTAGTTAGTTAGTTAGTTAGTTAGTAGTTAGTTAGTTAGTTAGTTAGTTAGTTAGTTAGTTAGTTAGTTAGTTAGTTAGTTAGTTAGTTAGTTAGTTAGTTAGTTAGTTAGTTAGTTAGTAGTTAGTTAGTAGTTAGTTAGTTAGTAGTTAGTTAGTTAGTAGTTAGTTAGTAGTTAGTTAGTTAGTTAGTTAGTTAGTTAGTTAGTTAGTTAGTTAGTAGTTAGTTAGTTAGTTAGTTAGTTAGTTAGTAGTTAGTAGTTAGTTAGTTAGTAGTTAGTTAGTAGTAGTTAGTAGTTAGTTAGTTAGTTAGTTAGTAGTTAGTTAGTTAGTTAGTTAGTTAGTTAGTTAGTTAGTTAGTTAGTTAGTTAGTTAGTTAGTTAGTAGTTAGTTAGTTAGTTAGTAGTTAGTTAGTTAGTTAGTTAGTTAGTAGTTAGTTAGTTAGTAGTTAGTTAGTTAGTTAGTTAGTTAGTAGTTAGTTAGTTAGTTAGTTAGTTAGTTAGTTAGTTAGTTAGTTAGTTAGTAGTTAGTTAGTTAGTTAGTTAGTTAGTTAGTAGTTAGTTAGTTAGTTAGTTAGTTAGTTAGTTAGTTAGTTAGTTAGTTAGTTAGTTAGTTAGTTAGTTAGTTAGTTAGTTAGTTAGTTAGTTAGTAGTAGTTAGTTAGTTAGTTAGTTAGTAGTTAGTTAGTTAGTTAGTAGTTAGTTAGTTAGTTAGTTAGTTAGTAGTAGTTAGTTAGTTAGTTAGTTAGTTTGCATGATAAAATACTTCCTCATTTATTACTGAGTAAGGCAATAGACTAATAAACATAGGCAATAATTGTAAAGCCGGTTTTAAACCCGGGAAAATTTGGGTAAGCACATTTGTAACTAGTTAGTTTTTATTCATCGTCGTCGAAATATAAGGCAATAATTGTAAAGCCGTTTTTAAACCCGGAAAATTTGGCTAAGCACATTTGTAACTAAATAGTTTTTATTCATCGTCGTCGAAATATAAGTAGTTATTCAGCATAAAAATAAGTACTTACACTTTGCTCCGTTATTACTTGCCTATTTACCGGTTAAATAAAGATTTTGGTGGGAATCACTTTAAGTTGGATTTACATACATACTTGCAGGTCTCATATTAAGAGATTCTCCCTAATATATGTAATATACTTACATATTTATGTGTTCAACATACATAATTGTTTTTAAATTATTTCTATTAAAAAATAAATTATATTAGTATTATTCAATTGTCCATTATTGATATAATAGAAAAATATTAATTTTAATAAACCATGTTCAAAACTTCTAAAAAGGGCACATATTATTTCAAAAGTACAAAATTGAGAAAAATATTAGTATTTATGTATATGGATTTTAACAACGGATTTCGTATTGCTGCCGTGATCAATTATGGGCATATTATCAAAAAATATCGATAATATAATTTCTATTCAACATAAAGTTATTCGTTTTATACTCATCAAAAAAATGTCATTATAACTAAGAAATTCGAAGTAAAGAAGATCTGTCTAATAAATTTCATGAGAATAGGTATTC